GATTTGCTGCTCAAGAAACATTTCTGATTATTATCAATGTTGAAAACAGTTGTGCTGCCCAATATGTTAGTGGAAACCATGATGATATACTATAATTTTTGTATTTTTTTAAAGAAATTAATAGTTTTATTCAGCAAGGACACATTTAATTGATCAAAAGTGCATAGCATATAAAATCCATTTGGATACAACGTTTTAACAAACTAATAAACTTAATGTGTTTTATGTTTGTCAGTCATACATTAATGAAACAGGTCAGATTTCTGCACTCAAATAAATCATTCCATAGTTAATAATTAGATCATTTTGATTTGATTTAAATTAGAGGACGCAGTGTCTCGTTCCCTTCTCAGGGAACCATGGTTACATACGTAACCTGAGACGTTTTTCGGACACATTTGGGTGTGTTTCTACCTTCAGGGCTTTCTGTGCGGCTTCGCTGGATCCGATGGCGATGAGATCCGGTCCGGCCATGCTGCAGAAACTCTTCAGATGGAGTCTGTCCTGAATGGGAACGGTGGACACGGCGTAGTCCTGTAAAACAGAGTCCAGTTGGGACACACATCACCACAAAAGCATTTTGGCTCAGACTGGAGAAACATTCGCTCATAAAAACAGAATGAAAATATTGTGTACTCTAAATAAACTACTAGCGCATTGGCTCAGCGGGTAAACAAAGGGGAAAAAACGGTTCGCTTATTGGAAAAACACACCTAAAGCACTCCAGACTTTGGAAGGAGGAGAAAATGCACTCAGAGATTCTTGCGGTGAGAACAAGTGAATGTTTTTGTGGAAAGTATGGATGTATTTATAAAAACCGTTGTCTGTTGTACTATGAACACGTTTGATAAAGCAGCTCTGCTTTCACTTTAGCGACCCGGGTGACTTTGCACTGCTTAAAAGTTTCCATAAACCATTGGCACGTGAACGATAAGGAGCTGCAGGCATCCTTGAGCTCGTTTGCGGCTCGTTACGAACTTGTGACGTTAAAAAGCATCTGTGCAAAGAATGTTCCGTTCTTACGACCGGCATTTGATTTTCATTGAGGAAATCATTGAGGAAAAATGTGGTTCTCAGTCTGCGGAAGCAGCGCTGCAGAAGAAAAACATCCTCAACGTAGCTTAACCTGATCCACACTAAACACTGAGAGACTGAGAATGAAGAGAAGAGGAGGAAAGATAGACAGACAGACAGACAGACAGGGTAGATATATAGACTTACAGAACAATACATATATAGAGTGAGAACGATATAGATATATAGACAGACAGATAGATAAATAGACAGACAGACAGCTAGATATATAGACGGATGGATAGATGGATAGATAGATAGATAAATAGACAGACAGACAAATATATATATATAGACTGGCAGACGGATAGATAGATAAATAGACAGACAGATATATAGACAGATGGATAGATAGATATATAGACTGGCAGATAGATAGATAGATAGATATATAGACAGACAGACAGATATATATATACAGACTGAGATGGATAAGTAGATAAATAGACAGATAGTTATATAGACAGACAGACAGATAGATATATAGACTGGCAGACAGATAGACAGATATTTGGACTAACAGACAGTTGAGACTCACCTTAAACGCGTCGGCCAGGATCTCTGCTCCTCTCTGATTGGTCCTCTTGGATAATCCAACAAAGAATTCTCTACCTGAACATCAGAGACACGTGTAAATTCACCCCCAGAGGAACCTGCATCGGCTGATCTGCTCACAGACATAAACGAGTGCTGGTCTAGACAACAATTTGGATTGTATCTAGTTTCCATCACTGATCAAAGGAAACCAAACTAATTTGCAAAGAGACATTAGTTAAATCTTCTTAACGACTCTCTGAGTTCACTGGGTTCAACTCTACATAATAAGTGCCACTGAACCTTCTGATCTGAGGCCAGTGAGAAGCTTCAACGTTCAGCTGCATTAAGAGACTTTTTCCTAGTCATATAACTTTATGTTTCTTTTTAACAGTGATCTGAGATCAGTTTCTCACATATTCTGGTGTAACAGTTTAAGTTTGTGCGTCAGTAGTTCTGGTCTGATCTGCAAACAGTGTAATGTGAAATGTGAATCCAGAACAGTAGCCACTTAATGTTTTATACAGGAGATATGAGCTTCATGACGTCAGGAGGAAATGTTTCTGGCCGGGAACGACTCCAGCCGAACGTTTCCAGACGCAATAAGGTGCACGGCTGCAGTTTTCCAGCCACCACTGAAGGTGATTCACATTGAATTCAGGGAACCAACCAGACACAATGTATGACAGATCTTTTACTCAAGAAAAAAGTCACCTACAACTTTTCATTTTTGGGTGAACTATCCATTTAAATTTGTATGCATAATATTGCATTAAAACAGAAATAAATGCAAATCAGAAGCCTTTTCAGTCATCTCCACTATATTGAGGCCGAGCTCAGTCAACGCAGCTTTCATGGCCTCCGTCTGGAACAGAAAAACATTTACTTTATTAATTCAGCAGACACTTACAAAAAACACTGCATTAAAACCCACACAAAATACCCTAGTAACTACATTGCAATGTCCTAGCACCCACATAGAGCACCTTAGCAACTGTATAGCAACAAAGCACATACCACTCAAAACACCTTAGCAACCACATAGCAACACTCTGGAAACTGTCCAGAACAATCGTTTAACCATATAGCAACACCGTAGAAACTACCCAGAACAACCTAGCAACTGTATAGCAACAAAGTATATACCACTCCACTCAGAACAACCATATAGAAATGCTATAGAAACTACACAGAACACCCTATCAACCACATAGCAACACCCTGATAACTGCCCAGAACACTCTAGCAATTGTATAGCAACAAAGTAATGAACATTTTAGCAACACCCTGCCAACTGTCCAGAACACTCTTTAGAAGCAGGACAAATGCGGGAGAGAAATCAGTTTCAGAATGTACCAAGTACACAATATCAGAAGCAGATGTTGAGTAACTGCACATGGTTAGCGACACACTGCGCTTGGGCCAGATACTCGCGGCTCGCCAGGGTCGCATTATTGCACACAACCTGATTAATATTCATGAATCCAGTAGCTCATTAATCCTTAGTGCGTTTTTATATTGTTCTTATTAGTAGAATTCGTATAATAATAATAATAACTTATCAGTGTTATTGTTTTTTGTTTTTTTTATAGGAACACTTTTTTTTTACAGATCGGAATCGGTATCGGCCAATACCGAACCCTAGGTATCGGAATCGGTATCAGAGGCAAAAAAGGCGGATCGGAGCATCCCTAATAGCAATGCTCTAGAAACTACCAAGAACACCCTAGAAACTGTATAGCAAAGTATATACCACTCAGAACATCTTAGCAACCACATAGCAACACCCTAGCAACAGGCCAGAACACTCTTTCAACCATAGCAAAGCCCTAGAAACTATCAAGAACACCAAAGAAACTGTATTGTAAAGTATATACCACTGAGAACATTTTAGCAACCACATAGCAACACCCTAGCAACTGCCAAGAACACTCATTCAACCATAGTTATACCCTAGCAACATCCCAGAACACCCTGACAACCACATAGTAACACCCTGGCAGCTACCAGAACACTCTGGTATGTACTTTATATAGCAACAAAATATATACCACTCAGAACACCCTAGCAACCACATAGCAACACCCTGCTGGCAACTGGTAGGAACACTCTTTCAACCATAGCAATGCCCTAGCAACAACCCAGAAAACCCTAGCAACCACATAGCAACACCCTGGCAGCTACCAGAACACTCTGTTATGTACTTTGTAAAGCAACAAAGTATATGCCACTCAGAACACCTTAGCAACCACATAGCAACACCCTGGCAACTGGCCAGAACACCCTAGCAACTGTATAGCAACACAGTATTTGACATCACCAGTGAAGTTCATCCAGTGAATTTTAAGCAGAGCAGGTTTGCAAGTCAGAAGCGAGAGCCGTCGGCTGTAAAATGCAATAGGCTAATTGAATGTGTTTATAGTCACTTGAGACCTAAAAGCAACAGTTGTGTTCACATTACACATTTATAGAGTGGAGAGAGAGAGAGAGAGAGACGCATCAGGATCTGGACTGAGTTTCTCTGACAACATGCTCCATCCCAAAAAAAATCTCCCAGAAGTGCATTGCACGGTTTTTGTTTGTTTTGATCATATTTTTCTCAATAAATCATACACAAAATGCATCAATTCTTTGAAGGCGTGCATCATCAAAGCAATTCGGATAGGAATATATTCAATAAAACATGATATATACCATCACACAGAAATAAACAGTGTTTAAAGCACATATTTTTCCATGTGAAACATTTGAACAGCACAAAGTTTCTGAGAGAACAATAAAAACACAATGTGGGGCTGTGACTGACCAAAAAAATCAAACTGAACTCTGCCCTTGTAAAAAGTAAAAATGCTCCCTTAAATCTGATCCAGGAGGCGAATGTTGGCCCGTAAGGAAAAAAATGAATTTCGGACACTGCCAGGACCCACGGATGACATCATCAGCAGGGGCCGAAGGTGATGTCATGCTGAAGGAAACATGTAAAACTTTTATGAGGAGAAGAAATTTAGAGGAAGTGACCTGCTGGATAAGAGGAACGCTCAAAAACAGCGCGGGCCGGACAGTGAGGTGTGTGTGTGTGTGTGTGAGGTTTACGGGCTGTTTTAGCGGCTCTCAGGGGTCGGCACTCGAGGCTCTGTTTTTTACAGGATGAATCAGTGTTTCCACGGCGATATCTGGCAGTGAGGTCACCGCGGACTCTGCTTCCCCTCGCTGCTGTCGCCAAGCATGAGGTCATACAGGTATGTCGCCACGGCAACCGTAACCCCCCTTAACCTCACTTAAATAGTGAAGACACAAAAACACACAGAGCAGCTCAACAAACACAGACAAAACAAGAGCACAAATGTAAAACTAATTCTTTATTTATTTTTTTTAAATTTGCATCACCAGAAGAATTGCTGTTTATAAGTATGTTTTGGTCTAATATAAAAGTCTCTCAGCTTTCTAATGACTATAAAAGTCTTTAAATTATTTTTTAAACTGTTTTTATTCATAAATATAATTTATTTATATTTATAAACTATACATAAATGAATAAAAAGTATGTATATATAAATA